TTCATGGCCTATTAATAGGCGTGGATTTTTTAAAAGTAATTTTTCATGGCCTTTTTATAGGCGTGGATTTTTTATAAGTAATTTTCATGGCCTATTTATAGGCGTAGATTTTTTAAAAGTATTTTCATGGCCTATTTAGAGTGGTGGATTTTTTAAAAGTATTTTTTCATGGCCTATTTAGAGGCGTGGATTTTTTAAAAGTAATTGTTCATGGCCTATTTAGAGGCGTGGTTTTTTAAAAGTAATTTTCATGGCCTATTTATAGGCGTGGATTTTTTAAAAGTATTTTTTCATGGCCTATTTATAGGCTTGGATTTTTTAAAAGTAATTTTCATGGCCTATTTATAGGCGTAGATTTTTTAAAAGTATTTTTTCGTGGCCTATTTATAGGCGTGGATTTTTTTAAAGTAATTTTCATGGCCTATTAATAGGCGTGGATTTTTTAAAAGTAATTTTCATGGCCTAGTTATAGACGTAGACCTTTTAAAATGGGTTTCGGTAGCCAATTTATAGGCGTAGATTTTATTGTCTCCCCATTCAGGTCAATGCCTCCATTGGATGACTACATTATGACTACAACACTTCCTTCCTGTTCCTTTGCAAAATTAAAATACAAAAACAGACATTTTCACCATTCACAAAACATGCAATGCAATTTTCATTGGGAACGGTAAAAATGTTTCCGAATTTAATAAGTACGTTCATGTTTGATTCCTTCCCCCCCGCCTCCTCCTCTCCTCCGCTATTTATAAACAACTTAGACAGCAAAGAGGATATGTTCCTTAGGCAACATATAAAGGAACAACATAAATGTTGTTCCTGTTGTTGTCAACAACAATTCTCCACAGGAGGAACAGGAAGCCCGCCGAACACACACACAAGGTAAAAACCACCTTTCTTCTTTCAAGGAAGAAGGATGAAGGAACATGTGTGTGTGTGTGATAGTATTTGTGTTGTTAGTTTGTTATTTGCCAAGTTTTGTTGTTGCAGTTGTTAGTTTGTTCGTTGCTATAGCAGAGTCCAAATGGCATGGAACTGCATATTCTATTCTTGCTACTGCTGCTACTAACTTCGGTATTTGGTTGTTTGGTTCGCCTTCGTACGTTCGCCTTTAACAAGGAATATAAATTGAATTTTATTTCCCCAATGCAAAAAACTACAATACGTGTCCTTTCCTTAGAGCAGCAGCAACACATACATATGTGTACGAATATGTGCGGCACAACACCATCCTTCCTAGGGAAGAAGGGAAGAGCAGCACCGAGAGAAGAAAATACAATGTAGAAATCAGCAATCAAATGGGAATGACATTACCAAAGACATGGCATATCCTAGGTAATATTGTTAGGTAGATTGCAGGGAAACAAATAATGGAATAATGTTGAAAAGGACTAGAAGAATTTGAAACACAATTCAGGGATCTTCAATTGAAGAGAAAAAAATTAAAAAAAATAATTAGGGCTATCATAGGACGTGGATTTTTTTAAAAAATATTTTTTTATGTCGTTGAATTAAAAAAAAAATATATTTTTTTGAGGTCTACTAACAGGCGTGGATTTTTTAAAAAAATATTTTTAGGGTCATTCTAGTCTCAAGTTGGTATCAAATTTCCAAAATTGTCAAATTTCAACGTAATCGAACTAACTTCAGCTGTTTAATGCAGTATTTTCCGAAAATCGGAAGAAAGCTATAGAGGGAGCTATATCGAAATCGGAACCAATTTACACGAAATTAAATACACCTCATTCTATCCTTATTCTAGTTCACTGAGCCAAATTTCATGGCAATCGATCAAACTTTGGGTGTTTTATGCACCATTTATGGGAAATCGGACGATATTTATAAGGGAGCTATATCTAAATCTGAACCGATTTCAACAAAACTTGACACACATCATTCTAGCCTCAATTTAGTACGCTGTACCAAATTTCATCGAAATCGTACAAATAATTAGTAACTAATGGACCTATAACATGAAATCGGACGAAAGTTATAAAGGAAGCTATATCAAAATCTGAACCGATTTTAACAAAACTTGACATACGTTCTGATAGACCCAATTCGTTACGCTGTACCAAATTTCGTCGCAATCGAACCAACATTGGGTGTTTTATGCACCATTTATAGGAAATCGGACGATATCTATAAGGGGAGCTATATCGAAATCTAAACCGATTTCAACAAAACTTGATGTACGTCATTCTAGACTCTAAAGTGTACGCTGAGCCAAATTTCGTCACAATCGAACGATTTTTGGCTTTGTTGTGCTGTATTATCCGAAAATCGGACGAAAACTACAAAGAGATCCATATCTAAATCTGAACCGATTTTAATAAAACATAATACACATCATTCTAGCCTCAATTTGACACGCTGTACCAAATTTCATCGAAATCGTACAAATAATTAGTAATTAATGGACCTATAACATGAAATCGGACGAAAGTTATAAAGGGAGCTATATCAAAATCTGAACCGATTTTAACAAAACTTGACATACGTTCTTATAGACCCAATTCGTTACGCTGAACAAAATTTCGTCGCAATCGAACCAACTTTGGGTGTTTTATGCACCATTTATAGGAAATCGGACGATATCTATAAGGGGAGCTATATCGAAATCTAAACCGATTTCAACAAAACTTGATGTACGTCATTCTAGACTCAAAAGTGTACGCTGTGCCAAATTTCGTCGCAATCGAACCAACTTTGGGCATTTGGTGCGGTATTTTCCGAAAATCGGACGAAATCTATAATGGGAGCTATATTGAAATCTGAAGCGATTTCCATAAAACTTAATACACAACATTCTAGCCTTAATTTAGTACGATGTAGCAAATTTCATCGCAATCGGGCAAATAATGAGTAATTAATGGGCCTATAACATGTATGTATACAGTATTTTCCGAAAATCGGAAGTAAGCTATCAAGGTAGCTATAACTAAATCTGAACCGATTTCAATGAAATTTAACAGGCATTATTCCAGACCCATTTCGTTACGATGCACCAAATTTCATCGCAATAGAACCACATTTGGCTGTTTGGTTCAGTATTTTCTGAAAATCGAATGAAAGCTATAAAGGGACCTATATCGAAATCTGAATCGATTTGAATAAAACATTACACACATCATTCTAGGCTCAATTGGGTAAGATATGCCAAATTTTGTCACAATCGAACCAACATTGGATATTTGATGGACCACTTAGCAAAAATCGGACGAAAACTATAAAGGGAGCTATATCTAAATCTGAACCGATTAAGATGAAATTTAATACACAGCATTCTAGCCCAAATTTGGTATCATGTTCAAAATTTCGTGGCAATCGAACCAACATTGGGTCTTTGGTGCACCATTTACAAAGAATCGGCTGAGATCTATAAAGGGACCTATATCGAAATCTGAACCGATTTCTATAAAACTCAACACACATAATTCTAGCCTAAAATTAGTGCGCTATACCCAATTTCGTCGCAATCAAACGAATTTCGAGTGTTTCAGGCACCATTTATCGGAAATCGGACGATAGCTATAAAGGGACCTATATCGAAATCTGAACCGATTTCAATAAAACTTAAAACACATCATTTTAGTCTCAAATCAATACGCTTTGGAAAATTTCGTCGCAATTGGACAACATGTGGCTATTTGGTGCACCATTTAGATAAAATCGGACGAAAATATATATGAGAGCTATATCGAAATCTGAATCGATTTACATGAAATTTAATACCCGTCATTTTAGATCCAATTCAGACATGTGTGCAAAATTTCGTCGCAATCGAACAACATTTGACTGTTTGGTTCACTATTTACATGAAATCGGACGGAATCTATAAAGGGACCTATATCCAAATCTGAACCGATTTCAATAAAACTTGACACACATCATTGTAGGGTCAATTTAATACCCTATACCAAATTTCATTGCAATCGATCAAACTTTGGCTGTTTGGTCCATTATTTATATAAAATCCGACGAAAGCTATAAAGGGACCTATACCAAAATCTGAACCGATTTATACGAAATTTAGTACACATCATTCTACACCTAATTCAGACCTCTGTACCAAATTTCATTGCAATAGGACAACTTTCATTTTTTTGAAATTATTTTCTTAAATTAAAATTTTCTTAAAATTAAAAAAAATAATAATTTTAAAAATTAAAGAAACACTTACCTTAAATTGTAATGAAAATGAAAAGTTCAAAATTTTGTATTGTGCATGTGTGCGTGAAAATCATACGGCTCATATGTACAATGTAAAGAGTAGGAAGAAGAAGAAAAACCAAAAATTGTAAGAGGGTTGGGATGTGAACGGATGTGATGATTGGAACCTCAATTTAGCGGTGGGGTTTTGTTGCTCCACATCCATACTCGATAGAGGTGGGGGAGGAGTAAATCAAATCAACAGGTCTACCAGGTGAGGCGAACTAATAAAGTTGGTGAGGGTGTATGAAGAAACTCAAAATCAAATCGGAGAACTTCGAAAATCAAAAGTGAAACTGAAAATCGGCCGCAGAAGAAGTACGTACGGTCGCGTGATGTGTGTTTTTATAAATAGCTACAAAGAAAAAAATTATAAAAAAATAAATAGAAAAAAATGAACTAAAATTTTGCAGTACAAAAAATTGAGTCGGTTGGTTGAGGTTAGGAGTCACAAACACAAAATTTTGAAAAAATACAACTCTAAAAAAAGGTTGTTGGCTTTACTAAAGAGGGGGGGGGGGGGTGTCTTCAGTGACAAAACAAAATTGGGGAGATTTACTTAAAACTTAAGGTGAAGTTCTATACCGAACCCTGTTTTAAGGGGTCGGTTACTAAGGTGCTGTACATCAACAAGGGGGGTACTTAGATTGCGGGGGAGATTAGGTGGTTGAGTGGTTGGTGGCGGAGGTTTTAAACCTCCTCCCCGAACAAAAACTATTTTAAACTGAAAATTCATTTCGAAAAGCCTGACAATGCTGGCGAATTTTTGTTTTTCCGTTCGCCCCAGCCTACCTCGAATTTGGACTCGTCGATCTACTGCGCTGTTGATTTGTCTGATCGTTTACATAATGTACAATGGCCGATGTGACCTCCTTGATTGAGGATTGAATCTCCGGGGTGACCGGTTGTAGCTTGCGAGTGGCCGCCGTAGGGGTGGTTTGGCTTGTGGGCGATGTGCGTTGTTGCTGGGACAGCAAAGAAGAGGCCAATCTGCAATTTAAGAAAAAGAAATTAATAAAAAAAATCCGAACTTCGAAATATATTATGTTCCGCCTTACCTTTCATGGGCCGTTCTCTGTGACAATTTCTCTTGGCTACGCCAGCCCAAATAGGGCTGACGCATTGAATTCCTTATCACACTGTGACCGCTGTTGACGGACATAAAGCTCGAATTGATGGGACCACCTCTCGAAAATGAACCGCGTTGCGAGACGCTAGGCGATGTATGTGACGAATTTAGGTGAGATGTGGACCAGCGTGAAAATGCCCCACCACTACCGGCACCATGACCGGCATGTCCACCAGCTGCAGTACCATGCTGACCAGCCGTACCCGTCTGACCACCATGATGACTATGTGCCGAGGGACTTAACAACAAAGGACTACGATCGGAACGCTGGGAACCCAACGAACTAAGGGATGTGGTCTTTGAGTTAAGACCGGCCCAACGACCAGAATCTTGGGTACGTTTGCGGGTGAAATTGCCAGGTTTATAGGTGCCAGCAGCCGACGAGCCATCCGGGGATTTTTGATTGTATTGCCTAAACCAGTCGGGGATGTTGAGACGTTGCAGCGAGGCCTGGATGCGTAGCTGATGTTCACTCAGGGCGGCCGGATTGTGATCGTGGGATTTTTGAAGCTCATTTTCGGGGGGCTGGAATTAAGAAAAAAAAACAGATATTTATAGCGGATTTTTTTAAAAAAAATTTAGGACCTACTTCTAGGCATGGATTGTTAAAAATATATTTTAGGGCCTACTTCTAGGCCTGGATTTTTAACAAATATTTTTAGGGCCTACTTATAGGCGTGGATTGTTTAAAAATATTTGTAAGGGCCTACTTCTAGGCGTGGATTGCTAAAAAATATTTTTAGGGCCTATTTCTAGGCGTGGATTGTTTAAAAATATTTGTAAGGGCCTACTTCTAGGCGTGGATTGTTTAAAAATATTTGTAAGGGCCTACTTCTAGGGGTGGATTGTTTAAATATATTTGTAAGGGCCTACTTCTAGGCGTGGATTGTTTAAAAATATTTTTTAGGGCCTACTTCTAGGCGTAGATTGTTTAAAATATTTTTTAGGGCCTACTTCTAGGCGTGGATTGTTCAAAAATATTTTTAGGGCCTACATCTAGGCGTGGATTGCTAAAAAATATTTTTAGGGCCTATTTCTAGGCGTGGATTGTTTAAAATTATTTGTAAGGGCCTACTTCTAGGCGTGGATTGTTTAAAAATATTTGTAAGGGCCTACTTCTAGGCGTGGATTGTTTAAAAATATTTTTTAGGGCCTACTTTTAAAATAATTTTTAAAGGATCCTCAGAAGGTGGTGATTTTTTTGAAATTACTTTTTGAAGTCATGGACCCCAGGAATCCGCACTTCGACCGGAAAATTAAAACAAGGAATATTTTTCTTTGAAAAAAAATTTTGAATTTTATTTTTCTTAAATCCTACAAAAGAGAGAGGATCTTTTCAAGATCCCCTCTCCAAACTATATTACAAAACTTAAACGTAAACTTCTCGATGACTTCCCAGGACATTTAAAACGTGATCCATATGTTTGCTGCAGGCATTCAAGCGGACATCAGCATAACGACTCAGGAAGAACATATACCGCTCCAGTTCATCGAGGGAACAATGCTGGAAACCATTACTGTTTCCGATTCTTCGAATATCCGCCACGATATTTTTAAGTAATGGCAAATATTCCGGAGAATCTTGCAGGGCTTCTAAGGCATCATAGGAGGTCTGCGGGGAGTTGTGATGATATTGCGATAGACGACCCTGCACGGAGCTGAGACGTCGATGTTGCGTCTCTAAGGTGGCCATTAAGCTATCAATGGCAATTAGAGATCGGTTGGGACTTGAGGGCCGGGTTGAGAGATGTTTGGTGAACAATTGATCCAAAGGTTCATTTTCATATTCCTGTCCGAACGAATCGAGTAGGGCATTTTCACTGTAGCGGGTCATGGTTGTGCCGCTGCAGGGTTCTTCCGAATGCAGTGTGGTGAAATCAAAGGTACGACTATCAAAGGGCGATATGGACGAGCAGGGTGAATCGATTTCCCTAAAATCATCGGTGTCGAAGTCGAATTGCTGAGCCGTGAATTTTGTAGGCCAATAGTTTTTCGTTGAGCGGGCAGGGAGACTGAGGCGGCTGCTGGTGCGGAACATCACGGGTTTGGCAGATATGCTGCTATCCCTTGAAGAAGATTTACTGCTGCTATAACTACCCAGGGAATACTTGGGGCTTGAGGAGAGTTGTGAAAAATTCGAAGAGGCATCCAGTTGAATAGGTGATCCGGATCGCACCTTGGAGAACTCAATATCATCAATACCGAATTGCAGGCGCCCCGTCTCCTTTACCGACACCTTGATGAAGGCAAATAGCCTTTGAATTTTTTCCGGACTTAGGAATTTTCCACTAAACGGCAGGGTCATATCCTCCGAGGAGAACCAATAATGCGAACTTTCTTGTTGGTTACTGGAGAATCGCTGAGAAACTTCAGAGTCCTGCTGGCCACCTCTCAACACAAATTTATGGCCATCTATACCAAAATTGATGGGTTTTTGTTCTGGGCATCTTTGCCGAAAGATTTCATAGAGCAGCTTAAGGCGTTCCTTTTCATTGGGGAAAATTTCCAAGGCCACATAAAAATCTCCAGATTTTATCCAGAATTTTGAGAACTCCTTTTCACCGTCCTGATGAGCCGCCGTCTCCATTTCCATGGTAGAGGCATTTTGATAAAATGTATTACCTCCTAGGCTATAGGTTAGCTGGGGATCTTCCACATCCTCCTCCTCACCCTCGTTCTCCGGTTCCCAGGAATGATCTTCTCGTATGACCTGCATGGCAATGGAGGAGCTTCTTCGCGAATCATTATCATAAATTGATCGAGGTCTTGACTTATTGAGCCTCGAAATCGGTATAGGGCTCACAGACTGCTGCTGCAGACTTCCCGTCTCATTAAAGGCCGAACTGAGATTCCTTGGCCCTGGTCCCCGTTTAATAGGCGTCGAATAGCACCTCTGATTCTCCTCAAATTTGCCCAGGGAACGATTGAGGATCCCTTGGGATTTACTTTTCCAGCGTATGGGGCTGTCGAAGTCATTCGACCCGGTTTCGAAACCCAAATCGAAGCTATCGCAAAGACGAGGGCCCGACAGAGGACTTCGTAGAGGTGAGGAGACCGAAGTGTTGCCTTTTATTTGCCATGAATTATTTAAAATCCCCTTGGTGGGAGCAGCGGCAATCAGCTGTAAATCCAGTTGCGACTTGGGTTTACCATGAGGTCTGGGTCGTGGACGGATTTTATTTTCCGTTTCTGAATCGGTGCTGGAGAGGGTTCGGGTTTCCACCAAGGAGTTGTCTTTACGCCAACTCAAACTGCGGCGTAATTTCTTTTTGCGGGCCGGTTTAATGGGTGCCCCACGTTGGGCGCCACTTTCAGCCAGTGAATCTCGACTTGAGTTCTGCAAGAAAAATTGAAGGAAATTGGTGAGACTTTGTGACTAGCAACTCAACTAAACAAACACTTACCTTGAGGTCCGCTTCAGGAGCCGAGGAGGAGGACTCCATTTCACTACTGGGAGTAGCTTCGCCGCTATTCTCCTTAAAACCCTCCGATGAAAGGGTAAAGGTTTCCGTACAAGATTTCTCCTCGGAATCTGTATTCACAGGCGATGAATCAGCGGAGGAGTTGGAGGCGGATTTGAGTTCGGATCTCAGAGAATTATCTTGCTTCGGGATGCCAGGAGCCCGATGCTTCTTACGCGACTTCCGTATCGATGGATTTGAGACAAATGAGTTGTGCTCAATTTCCTGAATCTTTGACATGATCTGCTCGTGGAATCTCTCGGCCTTCGCCAGGAAACAGTTAAGGGGTGGTAATTCAGTGGCCAGTGGTAGGATTTCCAAGCTACGCGATCGACTGGGTCTTTGCTGGACTGGACAATTCATTTGTGTGCGGAATTCTTTCCTCAATTGATCGATGGTTTTATAGTCCAGAGATTTGGATCTGCGGAGCCTTCCTTGGACCACTGGCTTAGCAGAGAAACTCTTTAGAGTAGCATCTGAAACCTTTGAGGTTTCTTGAGGTTGCTGCTGTTCCGCCACCTTCTTTGCGAGTCTTCCTCGACTCCTTGGTAGGGTAAATAATTTCGCCAGTGTCGATTGCATGGCATTGGGTTGCTGCAGCGACAGCTCATTCGCCAAATTGTTATAGCTTCGGGTCAGCGTTGAAGAATTACGCCGCATAATTTTCGAAAATTTACTATTCAGCAAAGAGGCCATTCGCTTCACTTTGAATTTTTTCAGAAGTTTGGTTTTCAAAGGCCTGACACTTTCCGCCTGCACTTTTGATGAGGAAGCCATTGGTGCGGGAATTTCTTCGGGAGTTGGTAGGTCGATTGTTTGGAATGAGGCGTCAATAATTTCGATGGAGGACATTTTTGATAATTTTATTAAATTTTAAATTTATTGCTTAGAGGTTTTGCTTAGAGCCTTGTGTTGTAACGTTAGACGTTGCAGTTTAGAACTGACACGGACTTCGAATTTTTCTCCAGGTTTTATACGGAGAGCAGAACTCTCCTTGTTTTCTCTGTTGTGTGCGGAGTTTATGATCCTCCACAAAGACAGGTAGTTTGAAATTTATTGGTTCGAACAAATTATTATTAACTTCGTTAATTTTCCTCCGCACAAACCCTGCCGCCACCGCTTGACAGGTAGGTAGATAGTTGATACGTGGCTGCCACGAGCATTGGAAAGTCCCTAAAAAGCAGCTGTCTTTGCGGGATTTCGCATCGAATGAGGATTTTTATGGTGGCTTAGCGGCATTTAGTGTGAAGTGTTAGACGCTAATTGGTTTCCAAGAAGTTTACGATTGAAAATAAGAAAAAATATTCGGAGGATTGCCAATTCCGCAAAATCCAATTTTCTAAGGAAAATTCAGCGGAGAAATTTGGAAGAAATAATTTTAAAGTGAACTAGAAATTGTGGTCTGATGGGTTAAATATTATACCTCTATGTTCTATATACAATATTTGCATGGGAGCGGATTTTTGAAATTAAAAATTAACTCCCGATTTTAGGAACGAAAATATTATTTTTTACTTCTGAAAAAATTCCCTTTAAGGAAAAAAAACCTACCAAAAATGTCTACTGTAAAAAATCAATTCCTGAGATATTTTTTAAATGGCGCCCAACGTGGGGTTCTTTTTAAAATTCCCACAATTCACAGAAATGTCGAGGAAGGTTGAAGGCATTTTTTCTTAGAGAAAAACCTGAGATATTTTAAAAATGGCGCCCAATGTGGGGTTCGGTATGAAAATATGAATTTTAACTTCTAAAAAAATTTCCTTTAAGAAAAACATAACTTCCAAAATTGTTTTCTATAAGAAAAAGCGATTTCTGAGATATTTTGTAAAATGGCGCCCAATGCGTAGATCGTTTCAAATGTCACATAAATATTCAAATCATAAATATTAAATAGTAAAAATACCTTCCGAAAGTCATGAAAATATATATTTTATAAAATGGCGCCCAACGTGGGGTTCGTTTCAAATTCATTCAATCCAAAATTATAGACTGGCAACCCTGTTCTATGGATGTGAGAAAAAAGTCACCAAATCCATAGAATATAGCGAATTTTTTTTCTGTGCGAAAAATTGAAACACATTTTTTGAGGCTGAGTATGTAGGAAACCAAATATCCTTCTAGGGCTGCCGTTTTTTTTTTTTTTTCATTCAATCAATCGTTCTATGGGTTGAACATTTATTCTGTAAGCCAAAACTACTTTCTCAGAACTTTCTGTAATAAAAATCATACATTTCTAGAGCTGCGGATTTTTTAGAAGAAATCATTCTCGAAGGTTTAAGTATTTTCCATTATTTTTGGAATATGAAAATCAGGACTTTTTATTATTTTAATAAATTTATCTTAGAGAAGAACGGTGAAACAACATCTGGGGAAAAACGGCGCCCAACGTGGGACACACCTTAACATTTTAAAATCAAAAGTTTTTCATTATTTTTCGAAACCAGGATGGCTTATTATTATCATGAAGAACAACCTAAAAAATCACTTTGAGAAAATGGCGCCCAACGTGAGGCAACCTACAATTATTTAAAAATGTGATTTATGAATTATAAATTATCTTCTATGGTTTGAATATTTTTCGGTAAGCAAAAATACCATTACTGCTGGGCTGGAAATTATTCATGTGGAACAATACTGAAAAATGATTTTGAGAAATGGCGCCCAACGTGGGGCACTCATAAAATATTTAATGTATTTAAAATGACGAGGCAAATAACAAGGAATGATTTTAGAAATAATTTGGTATATGGATTAGAAGCTTTATTCTGCGAAAGAAAATATTTTCCAATGATAAAACAAATATTTTCCCAGCTCTGGGAATGTTTGTTTTTTTAACTAACTTTCCTGGACTGAGGAAATATTTTCTACAAGGAGTAATAGTTTACAAAAGGGTTAGCATACATGCAACAAAACATTAGTGACAAATCGTCTTGAGAAAATGGCGCCCAACGTGGAGTACCCATAAAGTCATTAAGGAATCATTTTTCTTCTTTGAAAACTCTACCAAATGAGTATTGAGAAAATATTTTTTCCTATACTCATGAGGGCATATTAATTGGATACATTTTTCCATGCGGAAAAATTGCGAAAAAAATATCTGGAGAAAATGGCGCCCAACATGTGGCAAATATTTAACTTAAAAGAACAAAGAACTCAAGATGGTAATCGCAAAAAAATTGTTTGAAAAATAATTTCTCTGTGGATTAGAAGTTTTGTCCTATGGAAGAACATGGACGAATTATTCGACGACAAGAAATATTTTCTCAGGACTGTGAATTTGTTTAGGCAAAATATTACCCCACAGGGCTGAGGTAATATTTTTACAATGTACTAAGATATGATTTTTTGAAAGCTTTTTTTCATGAGGTAGTATATTTTACAAAGGACTAAGATATATATTTTTAGAAAGCCTATGAATTGAATATTTTTTTCTTCATGCCGTACAACTGTCTGAAGTGACTTTGAGAATGATCCCGAAAAATGGCGCCCAACGTGGGGTACGCAAAACCCATTTAAGTCCAAGTTATCTTGAAAATTCCATTGAAGAATTACTGAGACAACTTTTTTCTGAAATAAAACTATTTTTTATGCAGAAAACAACACGAGAAATGGTCTTGAGTAAATGGCGCCCAACGTGGAGCACACATAAAGCCTCTAAGGGTGAAGTTTTCAAGGGAAATAGCACCCTTGAAAACTTCACTGAGAATTCATTTTAGTGGACTAAAAATTTTATTGTATCGACTTGGAAATATTTTCGATATATGTTCTCAAATTGTTGGGGAGTTGAAAAATATACATAAAATGAAATGCTAGAGGGTTAAGATGTTCCACAACAATGTTCCTTAAATGGTTAGAAACAAGTTAGCCTCACAAAGCTTACAGCTAAATGGTACGGTAATCGTGAAAGGATTATTTTTTCACCCATCAGGGTGAAGACCAAAAAGTCCTCTAAAATGAAAAGCTAGAGGGTTATGGTGTTCGGCAACAATGTACCTCTAAGGGTTGGCAACAAATTATCCGAACATGGCGCACAGCTAATGTGTACGGCTCCCGAGGAATCACTGATGCCACCAAAAAGTCGTATAAACGGTTTGGTTTTTTTTTTTAAGAAAACTACTGTTTTTTATTAAGAAGTGACCTGAAGCACACTTAAATGAAAAGTGAGAGGAGTAGGATGTTCTAGAAAAATATTCAGCATATTGTTATCTGCAATTTTGCTGAACATTGTGAGCTACTAAAATCTATAGATCCCAAGGAAACACTACCGTTTACCAAGCAATCACTACAGCCTCGAATGAATGCAGATTTTTAAAGTTATCGCGGGGACGACCAAAAATTCACTTTAAATGAAATGTTACAGGGTTGAAGTGTTCCGCAACATTACTTCTCATAATGTTTCCTACAAGTTTGCCGACTATAGTATATGGCTAAAATCTATGGTTCCCGAAGAATCACTGATGCCACCAAAAATTCATAAAAATTGTTATGTTTTTATGTAATGAAAACTACTATTTTTTTTGTGACCTTATGACCCATAAATGAAAAGATAGAGGGTTGAGGTGATTAATAAAAAATATTCGGCATATTGTTTCCAGCAATATTGCTGAACATTGTGTGCTGCTAAAATCTATAGATCCCAACGAAAGACTACCGTTTTCCAAGGAATCACTACTTCCTCGAGATAATTCAGATTTTTAAAGTTATCGCGGTGACGACCAAAAAGTCCCCTAAAATGAAATTCTAGAGGTTTGTTGTGTTCCGTAACATTACCCCCCATAGTGTTACCTACAAGTTTGCCGACTATAGCATATGGCTAATATCTATAGTTCCCAAGGAATCATTGATGATTCCAAAAATTTCAATTAAAATTTTTAAATAAAAATAAAATTAGTTTTGTTTTTTGTTTCTTATTTTTATTATCATAAAAATTTAATGTCCTTTTCAAGGACCTGTCTTATACGATAGGTAACTTAAAAAATATACAAAAATTTACAAATTAAAAATTCTAAACATATACCGCTCTTTGATCGAGCAGAGCATCCAAGATTTTATCCATGTGATTGCTGCAACTGTTCAAACAAATATCGGCATAACGACTCAAGAAGAACATATACCTTTCCAATTCTTCAAGGGAGCATGACTTGAAGCTATCACTGGATCCCAGTTTTCCAATATCCGCCACGATTTTCTTTAATTCCGTTAAATATTCCGGTTTACCCTGCAGGGCATCCAGAGTTTCACATGAGATCATTGTGGGATTGTGATAGTTGGATAGACGTTCCTTGACCGAGCTCAAACGTTCATGTTGATTTTTCAGGACATTTAACATTTCCGGCACGGAATCCATTGGAGGTGATTTTTCCTGAATGGTGGGGTTGGTTTTCTTCTCTTCGAAGAGATGATCCAATGATTCATTTTCATAATCCTTACCAAATGAATCGGAATTGAAACGCATTGCATCACTGTTCCGTGGCATCATGAGATCTTCAGCTCCCAAGGAGGCCAAATCGAAGTGATTGCTTCCAAATGGGGAGAGGGAAAGTCGACCTGATTCCTCCTCTTCGACTTCTTCTTCTTGATCAAATATGTCACTTTCAAAATCCGATTGATCAAGATCGCTAACGGGTATGGGTTTCGAGTGAGGCCAGGCATATTTGCTGCGTCCCTCTAGGCCATTGCTAGTGCCGGATTGTAGACCAACCAACATGCTGTAATTACTTTCCATGGAGAATTTAGGAGATTGGGACCAAAATTCCGGGACATTTGAGAATTCCATGTGATCGACCCCGAAGCGTAGGGTGCCGGTTTCCTCCACGGAGGATTTGATGAATTGAAAGATTCTTTGAATCTTCCCTTGGGTGAGACGTTTTCCCGCAAATGGTATGGCCAAGTCTCCGGTGGAGAACCAGTATTGCGAGCAGTTTTCTTGATGAGGTAAACGCTTCAGGATATCCACATCCTCCGAATCATTAGAGGGTGCTTCGTGTACAGCAAATTTATAACCATCAATGCCGAAATGTAAATCCTTGGTATCGCAACTCCTCTGGCTAAAGATTTCATAGAGCAATTGAACGCGTTCTTTTTCGTTGCGATGGATCTCCAGAGACATAGAACAGTCGCCGCAGTTAATCCAAAATTTGGAAGAATTTTCCGCAGATTCCTGCAATTGATGGTGGTTGGAGGTCTCTTGGCTGAAGAACACCTGTTGGGAATTCATGAACCTGGGTGATTGTATTTCATGATGTTCCAGGGGATGATCTTCCCGAATCACCTGCATGGCCAGAGAACTTCTCCGCGACTCGGCGTCATAGATGGAGCGTCGTCGTTGCTGCTTTAATGGCAAGCCAATGGGACTGAAGATTTGTTGACGAGCTCCTGTGCCGGATTCATTGAAGGGTACTGCTGTCGAGGACCCGGTTAGGGATTTCACGGGAGTTGAGAAACTTGAAGGCACATCATCATCGCTTGACTTCTTTTCCTGGTCCAACTTGACAAACAACGGAGCACTGGGTGGTTTCTCTAGGCGGCGTAGGGAAGTTTTCCGTGTTACCCTTATGGGGCTGTCTATGTCATTTGAGCCCGTCTCAAAGCCCTGATCGAAGCTATCGGTTAGGGAACGAGGTAGCTCAGGTGTTTTCTTTTCATCGCAGCCTGAATTTCCAATAATTGTTGAATCGGCTTGCGAATGTAGCTCCCTTTGCTGTTGAGAGCTGAGGATTCCTTCATTGCCCACCATGGGAGTACACACGGTTAGGGTATAGGCCGATTTTATTTTCCTCGGCGAATTTACCGACTGTATGAGGGACTTATCCAGTTCGCTGAAGCTACCCTCAGTCATATCCAAAGGCTTTTCTTGAGGCGCCTTTTCATTATTTCCAATTTTCATGTTGGGCGCCACTTTGTTGAGAGGCTTTTCCGCTGGGTTATCCGTTTCCGAATCTGTGGAACTAATGGTATTGGTTTCCACCAAAGAGCTATCCTTACGCCAGCTAAGGCTGCGGCGCATTTTCTTTTTCCTCAAGGGTTTCAGGGGCTTGGCGAAGACAGTCGAATCGTTGTGATTTTGCGCCTGTGACGAATCATCAGTGGTGTGCTGGGGAGAAGAGGAGTAATCGGGAAATTGAGCCACTTTTTTCAAGGAAAATTGTTCACCAGATGGACTTACCTTTTCCACTTGTGAAATACCCGATTCACTTTCTTCCCCGTCGGTTTGTTTAGCCGAGGAGGTGGTAGATACCTCCGAACTTAGAGAGGAAGGTTTTGGCACTTCTTCTACGGGATTCTGTTTACCTTGGGCCTCCTGCTTCTCTTGTTTTTGTTGAATTTTCACCGTTTCCAATTTGGCAATGGCCTCTTCGAGCAGCTTATCCACGGCAGATTTTTCTTCGACCTGTTCCTCATCCTCTTCCTCCGCCCTGACATCTTCCATACTCTCTTCATGTCTCTCCTTGAGCCAAGAATAAAACAAAGTTTCCAAATGTTGATTCTGAAAGACATGAGGAGGAGCCAAGTGCTCGGCCCTGGTGCGTCGGATCTTCTTGGGCGGAGCATAGGCCTCAATGGAGAGGGTGGTACGCATCTTTTCATTATGACGTTTGTGACAGGGTTCAGAAATGTTCAAATTTACAATTTGATCCACCTCACATCTCCTTCTGGGTAAAGAGCGGGATCTCCTTTCCCGTCTCTCTTTAACGGGAGATGAAGAAGCACTTTGCAGGGTAATTGTCAGGGTGGAAATGTGCGAAACTTTGGGCTTGACGAGGTCCTCAAATTCCTTGGATTTAATGGGAATATCGAGGGCTTTTCCCTTCACCTTTGGCTGTCTGACAGAATTCAGTCTCTCCACAGCATCGGGAGAGATTCTTTGCTTGGGGAAGACACAGCGAGCCTCCAAATTGGCCAGAAGATTTTTCACAGATTCCTGTTTTTCATTGACCACTTCACCGCGGGCCACTTCCTTTTTGATATTCGCCTCCAAGGCTTCAACATGTTCAACAAATTTGGGATTCTTCCTTGACATATCGGACACGAATTGGGTATACAGCTGGGCCTTATCTTTCACCGACATTTTGGCAAAGGCATCCTCAGCCACAAAGCAGCTGGGTTTCCTCTGCAATCGAGCCAAGGATTTGGAGCGCGGACTGGGCACCGGTACTTTTTCCTTGGTGTAACGAGTCCGCGGCAAGGGTAGAGGTTTGGGTAATGTATTGGGCTTATTACCCTCTACCTTTCCATCTGCTGAAAGTTCGCTTACCAGGGTATTGTAGCCCTTGCTGTTGGCCTCACTTTTGACGATCTGGGCCACCTTGTTGTTGAACATATTTGCCATTTGTTTGACCTTGAATTTTTTGAGTAACTTCGGGGATTTGGGCTTGGAGGTTTTGCTGACTTCGGAGTTGCAGGTTGAGGAGTTTGATTCATATTTCTTCTTCAATTCCTGAATGCTGGGACGTTGTGGGGTAGTATTTGCAGCTTGAGATACCATGTTGAGAATTTTTTGTAATAACTGATCGGTTGTTTTTGCTTAGAGCTTGTGTTTTAACGTTAGACGTTACAGTTTAGAACTGATGCCGAATTGTGGCGCACAAGGTCTTTAAATACCCAGAATGGAAGATAGGTAAAATTTGTGCGATTTTTCCGAGCACATGAAAACCTTTTTACCTGTCCGACATGTTCGCCCAGCTGCATTGATCGATTGTCCTTTTATTGTCTTTCCACATAATTATTAATCTGGTGTTAGTAATCCGCGTGGGATTACCTGTTTATGGCCACATCGATTTTATTGTGGCCCTCACGAAGTGCCAATATTTTTTATGGCCACTTGTGAAATTCGGGGAATCGCGAAATTTTACGAACGCACACAAAATTTCCAAGAGGATTGGACATAGAGACCATTAAGAGTTCTTGGTATACGCAAAAATGATCGGAAATTTTATAAAGGATTGGGAGATCAGGGATTACATGAGCAGCTGCTTATTTCACGGACGAAGTAGAGGACAAGAAAAATATATTTTTGGAAGACTACAAAAATATTCTTCAAAGTATGGACTGAGGGTAAAGGCATCGAAAAATACTTTTTTAAAAATCTGAGCCTTATTGTAACCCTTGACAAATATTTGGTTAGGCCTTAACATTAGAAAAAAAATATATAAATTTTAATACTTATCTATAAATTTGAAAATCGTATCCATATTTTTAACCTCTGAATTTACATACCTGCAAAGAAAATAAAAAAAATATTTTTAATAAAATAATTAAATATATATGTTTAATATAAACTAGTTTTAAAAAATATAGACCCTAAAATATGTTACGGAAAATTATGCTTTTGAAAAAATATTAAAGAGGTCCCAACGGCCAAGAGACCATCAGCCCCGAAGAAGAAGTACCAAAACCTTCTACTCTAAGTTCGGAGGTCTCTAGCACCTCCTCGGCCAAACAAACGGACGGAGAAGAAAGTGAATCGGGTATTTCGCAAGTGGAGAAGGTAAGTCCAACTGAAGAACAATTTTCCTGGGAAAAAGGCACTCAATTTCCTGGTTACTCTTCTTCTCCCCAGCACACCACTGATGCTTCGTCCCAGGCGGAAAATCAACAGGATTCGACTGTCTTCGCCAAGCCTTTGAAACCTTTGAGGAAAAAGAAAATGCGCCGCAGCCTTAGCTGGCGTAAGGATAGCTCTTTGGTGGAGACCAATACCAATAGTTCCACGGATTCGGAAACGGATAACCCAGATAAGAAACCTCTCAACAAACTGGCGCCCAACATGAAAATTGCAAAGAATGAAAAGATCTCTCCAGAAAAGCCTTTGGATATGACTGAGGGCAGCTTCAGCGAACTGGATAAGTCCTTGATACAGTCGATGAATTCGCCGAGGAAAATGAAATCCGCCTATACCCTAACCGTGTGTACTCCCATGGGGTGGGGAATGAAGCTCAGAATCAAAGGGAGCAACTTTTGCAAGCCGATTCAACAATGATTGGAAATTCAGGCTCCCATGAAAAGAAAACACCTGAACTACCTCGTTCCCTAACCGATAGCTTCGATCAGGGATTTGAAACGGGTTCACAAATGACATAGAAAGTCCCATAAGGGTAACTCGGAGAACTTCTCTTCGCCGACAAGACAAGCCACTCAGTGCTCCGTTATATTCGGTTGACTTGTTGCCAGCCCTTTGGGGAACATTGTTGCGGAACATCATAACCCTCTAACTTTTAATTTTTGGGTACTTTTTGATCTTACCCTTAAAAAACATAAGACAATATAAAATCTCTCGAACAATGATTGGAAATTCAGGCTCCCATGAAAAGGGTAACTCGGAGAACTTCTCTTCGCCGACAAGACAAGCCACTCAGTGCTCCGTTGTTTGTCAAGTTGGACCAGGAAAAGAAGTCAAGCGATGATGATGTGCCTTCAAGTTTCTCAACCCCCGGTGAAATCTCTCACCGGATCCTCGGCAGCAGTACCCTTCAATGACTCGGGCGCAGGAGCTCGTCAACAAGTTTTCACTCCCATTGGCCTGCCATTAAAGCAGCAAAGGCGTCGCTCCATTTATGACACCGAATCGCGTAGAAGTTCCCTGGCCATGCAGGTGATTCGGGAAGATCATCCCCTGGAACATCATGAGATACAATCACCCAGGTTCATGAATTCCCACAACAAATGTTCTTCAGCCAAGAGACCTCCAACCACCATCAATTGCAGGAGTCTGCGGAAAATTCTTCCAAATTTTGTATAAACTGCAGTGACTGTTCCATGTCGCTGGAGATAAAACGCAACGAAAAAGAACGCGTCCAGCTGCTCTATGAAATCTTTATCCAGCGAAGATGCGATACCAAGGATTTACATTTCGGCATTGATGGTTATAAATTTGGCCTACACGAGGCACCCTCCAATGATGCCGAAGATGGGGAGATCCTGCAGCGTTTACCACATCAAGAAAGTTGCTCCCAATATTGGTTTTCCACCGGAGACTTGGCCATACCCTTTGCGAGAAAACGTCTTCGCCAAGGGAAGACTCAAAGAATCTTGCAAATCATTAAATCCTGTGGAGGAAACTGGTATCCTATGCTTCTGTGTCGATCACATGGAATTCTCAAATGTCCTGGAATTTTGGTCTCAGTCTCCCAAATTCTCCATATAAAGTAATTACAGCATGTTGGCGGGCCTGGCACAAGTAATGGCCTAGAAGGACGCAGCAAATATGCCTGGCCTCACTCGAAACCCATACCCGTTAGCGATCTTGATCAATCGGATTTTTAAAGTGACATCTTCGATCAAGAAGAAGCCGAAGAGGAGGAATAAGGGACGTCTTTTCCTCTCCCACTTCGGTAGCTATCATTTCGATTTAGCCTCCTTGGGAGCTGAAGATCTCATGATGCAGCGATGTAATGCGTTTCAATTACGCTTCGTTTGGTAAGTACTATGAAAATTAATCATTGGACCATCTCTTCGAAAAGAAGAAGACCAACCCCGCCATTCAGGAGAAATCTTCTACCATGGAATCCGTACCCGAAATGTTAAATGTCCTGTAAAAATCAACATGAACGTTTGAGCTCGGTCAAGGAACGTCTGTCCAACTATCACAATCCCACAATGATCTCATGTGAAACTCTGGATGTCCTTCAAGGTACACCGGAATATTTCACGGAATTGAAGAAAATTGTGGCAGATATTGGAAAACTCGGATCCAGTGATAGCTTCAAGTCATGTTCCCTTCAGGAACTCGAGCGCTATATGTTCTTCTTGAGCCGTTATGCCGATATTAGCTTGAACAGCTGCAGCAATCCCATGGATAAGATATTGGATGCTCTGCTCGATCAAAGAGCGGTATATATTTAGAAAATTTAATTTTAAAATTTTTGTATATTTTTTAAGTTACCTATCGTATACGACAGGTCCTTAAAAAGAACATTGCATTTTTTTGATAATAAAAACAAGAAACAAAAGAAAAAACAAATTAAATTTTTATTTAAAAAAAATATAACCATTATGGACATTTTTGGGAGCATCATTGATTCCTCGGAAATCATAGATTTTAGCCATATGCTATAGTCGGCAAACTTGAAGGTAACACTATGAGGAGTAATGTTGCGGAAGACTTCGACCCTCTAGCATTTCATTTTAGGGGTCTTTTTGATCGTCCCCGCGATAACTTTAAAAATCTGCAATCTTTCGAGACGGTAGTGATTCCTTGGGATCCATACATTTTATGCGCAAACTATGTTCCGCAATATTGTTGGTAACAATATGCCGAATAGTTTCCTAAAACACCATACCCCTCTCACATTTCATTTAAGGGTCCTTCAGGTCACATTTTTAATAAAAACATAGTTTTCTTTAAAGGAACATAACAGTCTTTACGAATTTTTGACGAAATCAAAGATTCTTCGGGAACCGTACACTTTAGCTGTACACTATGTTCGGCTAACTTGTTGCTAACCATTTGGGCAACATTGTTGCGGAACATCATAACCCTCTAGCATTTCATTTTAGAGGAATTTTTGGCCTTCATCTTGATAGGTGAAAAATATGCAATCTTTCGAAGCTGCAGCATTTTTTGGTGGGATTAGTGATTTCTCGCGACCCGTACACTTTAGGTGTAAGTTATATTCGGTTGACTTGTTGCTAGCCCTTTGAGGAACATTGTTGCGGAACATCATTACCCTTCAATTTTTAATTTTTTTGGGTACCTTTTGATCTTCCCCTTAAGAACTTTAGAAAATATAGAATCTCTCGAAGAGCTAGCGATTTTTTTTTGGGGTCCATATATTTTATCCGCAAACAATGTTCCGCAATATTGTTGACAAGAATATGCTGAATAATTTTCTTGAACATCTTCCCCATTTACACTTTTACTGCATTTAAGGGACCATTTACACACCTTCAGGTCAGTTTTTAATAAAAAAAGCTAGCTTTCTTAAATAAAAAAAAATAGTTTAGAGAAATTTTTGGTGGGCTTAGTGATTCCTCGAGAACCGTACACTTTAGCTTTACACTATGTTCGGCTAACTTGTTGCTAACCCTTTGGGGAATATTGTTTCGGAACATTTTAACCCTCTAGTTTTTCATTTTAGTGGACTTTTTGTCTTTACCCTGATAGCTAATAATTATACAATCCTTTCATCTATTTTTGGTGGAATCAGCGATTCTTTGGGAACCGAGCACTTTTGCTGCACACTATGTTGGGCAAATTTGTTGCTAACTCTTTGGGCAACATTGTTGCGGAACATTTTAACCCTCTAGGATTTAATTTTAGACGACTTTTTGACCTTCAACCAGATAGGTATGAAAATTTACATTACTTCGAAGTGGTAGAAGGTGGGATTAGTTATTTCAGGGGGAGCCACACACTTTAGTAGTATGTTATATTCCGCAAACTTGTTGCTAACCCTTTGGGGAACATTGTTGCGGAACATTTTAACCCTCTAGTTCTTCATTTTAGTGGACTTTTTGGTCTTCACCCTGATAGCTAACAAATATAAA